AATAGAATCAGTTGCTTATAGAAGGAAGCAAGAATACTTTGTATGAGAAGACTATGACAGTTTTAATAAGATTTTTACTAAATGTTTTTGTAATTTTGTTTTATTGAGTAGATTCTGTTAGATAATATGTTATGTATGATATGTTTGAGTTGTTTTTTAATCAATAAAATTATTTTTTAAAAGAAATCTGTACTTAGGACAATAGGCAACTGTTAGAACAGAATACAGACAAACAGAATGGTTTCCCATTGGAAAAGGGTCAGAAAAGGCTGTATTCTATTACCCTATTTGTTCAATTTGTATGCAAAAAATATAATACAAAGAGCAGGCTTAGATTTGGGGAAAGTATGAATAAAGAAAGGAGGGAGGAGCATCAGCAATCTAAGATATGCGCATAATATCATACTTCTAGTGGAAACCATCATGGCCTTGGAACAATTACCAAAGAAGTTTTTAAAAAGAAAGTACAAAGGCAGTCTTAATGCTGAACATAAAGAAAGAAAAAATAATGACCATGGAGGATCTATATACATTCAACCTAGACAATGAGAAAATTGAAATAGTAAAAAAAAAAATCCCTATACTTTGCATCCAACATCAATCAAGGAGGAGATTTTAGTCAAAAAACCAGAAGAAACTAGGAATGGTAAGGACAGCTATGAAAAAACTAGACAAGATCCTAAAGTCTTAAAATATACAAATGATCACTAAAGTTATAATCTTCCACACCATTGTATTCCCTGTTGCCATGTATGGATGTGAGAGCTAGACAATAAAGAAAGTTGGAGGGGAAAAGATAGGTAGACCACACAACAGATGGATGGACTCAATTAAGGAAGTCACAGGCCTGAATCTGCAGGACCTAAGCAGTGCAGTTGTCCAGGAAAGCTGCCAAGAGTGCTGATAAAAGCTTTGTGTGAGGGTTGAAGGTAACCAAAGTATTTTGCTAAGGCAAAGCAATAAAGCAAAGGCCCATATTACCAACCCAAAGTCCAGCCAAAGAATGGTCAAACATCCGAAGGTCTAGGATTCCAGAGAGGCAGAATGACAAAGCAGTCCGAAGGTCAAGGGTTCCTGAAGTCAGCAGTCTGAGAGTCAAGGTTTCAGGCCAAGGAACAAGGAGAGGCAAAGGCTTTCACTAGGGACCTTATCACATGGGGGTCCCAAGCAGAAGGTATCCAAA